TAACATGACGCAGTATGTGGCGTAGTTGTTACACAAAATATTAAGATAAAAATAGAAAATGATGTCATTGTCACGTGGCTGCCGCAGTAAGTTGGTTCCGATTGATCGACATGCTCGGGACTTCCCCAGTCCTTATTTACAATCTCACACAACCATTTTTACAATGGTTTTTATTGTAAAATATTATGGAAGTTATTGCAAGAATATTGTAAAAATGGTTGTTATGCTCAATGCTTTCATTATGTGAAATCTTTGTGAATTACAAAAGGAAATTGCAAGGGTATATATATGTTTAGAATAAATGATAACATTCCATTTGCAGATATTTATTAGGCTACATTGTAAATGAATGCAGAAGGTATTCAAATACATGCATATGATTCAGTATTGAGCTTATTTGTCTTGCTAGATTTATCTATTATAACAAATGACAATGCCTTTCGATCAGTGGACCCTGAAAGAAATGATGTATGTTGACTAAGTTGCAATATCATGTTCAAATAAGGAATGTGGGGAACTTTCTGGGCGCAGAAAAACATAGTAATTGTCCCATCATCACATACTACCCCATATATAGATGTACCAAATCATCTTTTTGATAATTTCAATCAACTACCTCCCTTATCTACTTGACTTCTACTTGATGCCACTGTCTTCAGTTTGATCTATACTGCAAGAAGCAAAAGATCATGGATAAAATCTGCAAAGCATATAACAAAGGGAAATGAAAGAACGATAGAAAATGAAGAATGAGAAATATTAAAAAACATTATAGATTCAATTAATTATAGTTAATGATAACCAAATGTGACAGAAATAATAATGTATTTAATTCTTATATAATTTAAAATAAGACAAAATGAAAAAAAAAACAAATGTGGGTTTTTTGAGGAATTGCACTTTCTTAAATAAGTAAAATATTTTATATGATTAATATATTTTCTAATTCTTGGATTTAAATTGTTTTGTCCAGATCAATTTTCATATTAGAATGGATGATATATTGATGAATCTGAACTAAAATTTTTATTGAGATTGATTAAAATATTGCGGATCTTGTTGTAGAGGAATTATATTAAAATTTTGTTGTAGTTGTTGTTGTTGCTGCTGCTGATGGTGATTATGATGATTATGATGATGAAATAAACGGATTTATAGGTCAGCCAAATGAAAATATTACATAAAAATCATTAATAGAATTAAAATAATAAAATTACCTGAGAATCATATGGAATAAAGTTTTGATGTTGAACAGATGATGGGGTAGTTGAGGTATTATTAAATATTTTAGGATCTTGATATTGAATTGATAGCTGTGTTAATTGAGCTTGATTTATTGTGGCGGCATCTTGTAAATTTTGAGATGGATTTCGTAATAATGTGTATATATCTGCAGAATTTGTATAATCTTGTGATGTTTGATTAGACAAATACTGAACTTGTTGTTGAGAGAATGAATTATTTAATTGATTAGAGGAATCTTGCAAACTATTAATAGAACCTTGAGATTGTTGCTTTGAGTTTAAATTATGTTTTGGGTTATCTGGTTGTGTGTTTTGCGTAGAAAATTGAGTTTGTTGAGAAGCATTTGTAAGTGCTGTGATGTCATCTGATGCATAGTTTTGCTGCTGAAGAAGTTGCTGAGGTTGCAAAGGTTGCTGTTGCAACTGCTGTTGAAGTTGTTGGGGTTGCAAAACTTGCTGTTGAGGCTGTAAAGTTTGCTGTTGCAACTCCTGTTGAATTTGTTGATGCTGCAAAGTTTGCTGTTGATGTTGTACAGCTTTCTGTTGAAGTTGTTGGGGTTGCAAGGTTTGCTGCTGAGGTTGTAAAGTTTGCTGTTGCAACTCCTGTTGAATTTGTTGAGGCTGCAAAGTTTGCTGCTGAGGTTGTACAGTTTTTTGTTGAAGTTGTTGGGATTGCATGGTTTGTTGCTGAGGTTGCAAAGCTTGTTGTTGCAATTGCTGTTGAAGTTGTTGTTGAAAATTTTGTAGTTGTATAGGTTGTTGCGCTGATAATTGTTGAATGGTTGGAGTTACATTGTAGCCATTTAATTGATTAGAAGAATCTTGTGATTGTGACAGATATGGATTTGTTGTGGTTTGTTGTTGTTGTTGAGACGTGAAAGTTTTATCATCATTTGTTTCAAAATGGTCTTGTTGTGTAAAATTTCGAGATTTTGGGTTTTGAGTAAAAACATTTTGTTGCCCTGGTATGTTGTTGCTGTTTTTATTGAAAGTTTGTGGAGTGAATTGATTATTTTGTTGAACATGGAGCAAATTTTGCTGATTTAAAATTTCTTGTGGTAAAGATTGGTATGTAATTTGTTGATTCTGAAGATGTTGAGAAGGCAATAATGGGTATTGAATTTTTTGAGGATTATAAAATTTTGATTGATTATACATATCAGATTGCTGTTGTTGTTGATACAAAATCGAAGAAGCTTGAGGAAAAGTTGCTAGAACAGAAGCTTCTTGTTTTAATAAATGATAATCTTGAGGAATTTGTTGGCTAATTAAATTATAGTTTGGATTTTGAGCTACCTTTGTAGAGTATGATATAGATGCTATTTGAAATTTTGGTGATTAATCAATATATATTATATACACATATATTTATATATATATATATATATAGTATATGTAATAAATTTAAAAATTTACATGGATAATCATATTTTTGAATTGATTCTTGCATAAGTTTCTCATAAGTCTTGGTAGACTGAATAAATTTACTGTGTAATGAGATCAGTTGATCTAAATATAAAAAAGAGAAAAAAATTTTATTTAAAATATTCAGATATAATGTACAAGTAATATGTTATATATGCCATGGCACCTACCTTTCTTTTGACTATATTTTTCAATAACTTTAACCAATTTTGATCTAATTGGTAACATAGAACTATATAGTTCCTGTTAATTTAATTCGTAAAATGTTTAATAATTAAAATTTAGAAATTGTCAAACATCAAAATTTTCATAACAATATATATAACCTGGATTTCTTCATCCTCCATGGCATTTTTTTTTTGTAAATCTATTCTTTTTAACTTTTCCAATAAAATTTCTATTTTTTGAGCTTGTGCAAATATTAAAGTTTCGACTTCAGCTTCTTTTTCAATATCATCAGGTGTTGGCTCTGACAATGTTTCCTAATCAAAATTTCAATCAACAACTCATTCATTGATTACGAATAAATAAAAACATCAATTTATTTGTTTAATATTTACAACATAGTTTACTGGGAAAATTCCTGTCTTGCCACGTATTTCTCCACGCCACCAATCTTTATAAACATCATTATCAATAACCGAAATGACGTCACCACGTACAAACCCAAGCTCGCCCGCTTCAGTAGGAGCAAAGTCATATAGCGCCTTGACTCTTTTAGTATTTCCTGTTTTTTTTGCTGGCTTTTGAGGAAGTTCTTTATTCTATATTTAAAAAAAAACCTTTAATCATTTAATGGAAAATAAAATAATAATTAAACCTGATACATACTGAAGCAGTGATTGATGGTTGGGTTGAGAATTTATTTGATAAAAACTGTAAAATAAAATTTATTATTAATGTTGTTGTTATTAATGTTGCAACATTTAAAATTTGTTTACATTTTGCGATTTACGTTTATTGACTTCATCAAGCGAAAGAGCTACGGCTAATTTAAAATCCTCCTCTTCTTTTTTTTTAAGTTCAGCCTATAAAATTGTTGTCATTTATCATTATTATTATTATTAACAAAGAAGCATACAGATATTAAAAAACAAGTACAAACTTCACTAAGCATTTTGACTAAATTTGGAATTGTCTTGAGCTAATAAATAAGTAATATATAGTATATATAAGAATTTTTTTAGAATTTTTAATCATGTCATGTGCACATATTAAATAGGGATATTATTAAGATGGTCCGCCGATCAACAATAGAAATTTGTTATTATTATTAGTCGGACGACATTTCACAGTGACTGATTTTAATATATGATCGACATGACACGTTTTCTGTACAACGGACTT